GCGATACCACGCGAAGATCTTCTAAAAGAAAAAAAAGAAAAACGATGGCCAGAGTGGGCAACAGCCAGCGAGGCAAAGTAATAATGACAACAAAAAGTGGCAGTTTGTTTTTATATCGAAACAATTTAGGGAACGAATTTTACGTGTCTTTGTGTGCGTTTCTTGTAGTAGTTATAACCAGTGAGTTGCCGTGTTGCGGGCGAAAGGCATAATGTCGGACAGTGCCACAGCAATGGATTTTTTTTTTTGCGTTTCTTTTTCTTTTCTTCTGCTGCCCGATATCGCTAGAGACTTCTTCGGGGGGACCGCAAACGCACAATGTCTTCCTTTTTAAAGGCATACTGTGTTGCATACGATATTTTGCTGTGAGGGGCGTTGTGCACTGCAGACGGTGTGTGTGTGTGTGAGTGGCAGCGCGGGGGGTCGTGGCTCGCTGCGGAGCCGTGTTGCTTTAGGCGGTGGCCGCCGTGCCTCAGCGGAGGAGCGGAAGCGAAGGCGATGGATATCTTGCGTTTTGCCGAGATGCCGTTCGTCTCGAGGGAAGTTTGTCACACGACGCCGACGCTCGCGGCTGCCGGGCCGCCGTACGTGGGGCGCGCGCCCAAGAAGGAGAGGGCGCCGATATTCCCGCACGTGTGTTGTGGGCCATGGCCCTCCCTGGGGTTGAAATGAGGCTGTGAGGCGGCGGTGCCACTGCGGGTTGTGTTTTTTTTTGTTATTTTTTACGCGGCGCCCCACTCCTGCTGCACTGCGCTGAGGGAAGCGGCCCGGCGTTGGGCGATTTTGGGGGGGGGGGGGCTGCGACGGGATTTCCTGCGGGCACGCGCGTTGCGTGTCGCCGCTGGCGGGGGCTCGATAAAAAGGCGGCGCGCGACTTGTGTTTGTGGTTTTTGTTTCTGTTTCCGCGGGTTCTCCGTGCGTGTGTGTTTCTTGGGGCGGCGAGTGTGCGGTCGTGCGGCCCACGCGTTCGTCGCTGCTGCCTCCACTGCGGACTGCGTGTCGCCGCTGTTTGCGTGCTGCCCCGCTGCGGACGCTGTGGCCGGACACTTGCGCCTCCCTCTTTTCGGTTTGTTTCCTCCGCGCGAAGGCCGCGGACGTTTGCGGCGTGAGTCCCGTGTGGGGCGTGTGGGGGGTGCCGTTCTGTCGGCCGCAGCTCTACTTCTTCCGGTCCCCTCTGTCCTGTTTGCTCCTCCGCACCTCTTACTTTTGCCAGCAAGACACACACACACGCACGCCGAAGGAAAAGAGAGACCAAACGCTGATTTCTGCCGCTACTCTGCGCTTCGAAGGCTCTGCAGCTACCGCCGCCAGCAACACACCGCACACACGCACCACCGTCGCTGCCTGAGCGGACCCACCACACGGAGGGGGAAAAAAGAGAGAGTGAGTGAAAAGCCACGGCCCAATATGTCCCGGCACCTGTTTTCCTTCGCGGCGCTGCTGCTGCTTCTTTGCGTGCTGACGTGCTGCGGCAGCGGTGGAGCTGCGGAGCAGCAGCGTTCTTCCAAGATCGAGCTCTTTAAGGGAGGTGAGACGGAGATTCCTAATGTCAGAGACCTCGCGAGGAAGCAAAAGTTTGACTCGTTTTCTGCTCCTGCTCTGCTCGAGAAGCATGGTGTAATTGTGGCTTTTGCCGAGGCACATTATGAGGGCGGGGACGGTAAGTCCTTTACCGCTCTTGCCACTCGGTCCTCAGCGAGTGGTTTGGATGCGTGGTCGGAGGGCTCGGCGATAGTAAAGGATGCGTTCGACGGCAAGGTTGCTCGCCTGTTGTACCCAACCCCGATCGTGGACGAGGAAGGCGCAAGTGTGCTGCTCGGGGGCTACGGCGACTGGGGAACCCCCATGACAAAGGCTGCCGGCTGCTACCATTGGAGACCTCGCTATGGGTGGGGAACGTTTCCAGAGGAGGGCGGAAGGAAGTTCATGTTGAAGGATGATTTTTCAGATCTGTCCCGTGACAGCGCGCACCACATCCATGGCACGTCTTACACGCAGTACAATGGTGGCGGGAGCCCCGGCATCAAGATGACGAACGGAAATTATGTGCTCCCCGTTCAGGCCCTGAACGGCGACGAAAAGAACGTCTCGCTGGTGTTGTACTCCAGGAGCACCTGGCATGGCCTGACGTTCTCGACGGGCACGAGCCATGCGGGCTGCACCCGCCCCGCCATCCTTGAGTGGGAGGGCGGGAAGCTCCTTCTGCTGACGTCGTGTGTGGACGGCTACCGCAGGGTGTACGACGTCCACTTCAAGGCGAATACGTGGACGGAGGCCGTCGGCAGCCTCTCGGGCGTGTGGGGCAACTCACTGAGGCGCCAACGAGGGTACGGCATTCCGGGCGGCTTCACCGCGGCGACCATCGACGGAAAGAAGGTCATCTTCCTCACCACGGCGGTGTATGCGGAGGGCGAAGAACATGGTCGGCTGCACCTGTGGCTCACGGACATGGATCGGGTGTATGACGTTGGCCCGATTTCCGACGCAGGTGAGAGGTTCGGCGCCAGCACTCTCCTGTACGTCACAAAGCCCGGGCAGAGCAGCGGCACGTTGTACTGCGCCTACGAGTCCGCCGCCGCCGATGGGGGCAAGCAGGACGTTGTGCTGGCGGACCTGGCCGGGCAGCTGGAGGAGGCGCGGAAGGTGCTCCAGGTTTGGGAGAGGAACGACAAGTACGTTTTGGGGCGCCAAGGCTGCGACAGGCTCGTGCGGACGCCGCCGGGCAGTACGCCCCAAAACGACGCCCCGCTGAAGTACGTGCCCTCCGGATTTTTGTCCAAAACGCTAACGGGTGACTGGTGGAAGGATGAGTACCTTGGCGTGAACGCCAGTGTGAGGGGCAACCCAGTGCTCGCGGAGGACGGGGCGGTGGAGTTCAAGGGGGCTGACGCGGGGGCGAAGTGGCCTGTGATTGCGCAGGGGCAGAACCAGCGCTACCACTTTTCAAGGTACGCGCTCACGCTTGTGGCGACGGTGACGATCCATGCGCTGCCGTCTACCACCAGCCCTTTGATGGGAATGGTGCGGGACGACGGCGAAAAGAAGGTTCTGTTTGGGCTTTCGTACACGAAGGAGAATAAGTGGGAGGCGACGATCAAGGGGGAGACAAAGACACCGGCGGGAAAGAGGTGGGAGTTGAAGAAGGCGTACCAGGTGGCACTGACGCTGCGATCGTATGACTGGCGCGTGTACGTTGACGGGGACGAGTTGCAGAAGGGCACGCTTGGGGACTACTACTACCCCCTCCAGCACTATATCCTGCACTTCTACTTTGGCGCCGACGGGGACAGGAAGGCCGCGACGGACAGCCACATGAGAATGACCAACGTTTTTCTCTTCAACCGCGTGCTGGACGCTGCTGCACTCAAGGCACTGAAGACGCACACGGCAGCCGCGCTGCAGGAGGACCCGTCGACTCGACCGGACGCCAGCGCATGCCAGACACCCATCTGAGGACGCGGGTTCCTGCGGCCCGCCGCGGCCACATGTGGCACGGCGCCACTCCCCGGAAACAGCCCCGTTCCTCCCCGAAGCGCCGCTGCATGGATGCGGAGTACACAAGCGGTGTCAATGGTGTGCACAGGTGCATGTGCGTCTCGGGCGCTAGTGCTGCTACTGACGGGGAGACAAGAAACACGGATTTGCATCGCTTGATGTAAAAGAAAAAATACTAAAGATAATACAAAAAAAAAAATACCGCGGCTTCCCCACAGCATTTGTTGCTGTTCACAAGACCCGTTTTTTA